TTAGTCTTAAACATACATGTTATACATACAGTGTTTGAATAATCTTCCACATTCCTGTTTACATATGTGCAGCTACATTTTACTCTCTCAATTTCTTATCTTAATCCTAGGAAATGAAAATATTTGGATGGTCATCTCTTCTCTGGAAGAGAAACATTAAAAAAACAGTGTAAATATAGAAACAAACAAGAATGTGTGAGGGACTAATGGATGAGGGTTAAAAACAAGGAGAGAAAGGAGAATTTAGGAACAACCTTAAAGGAGAGAGGGAAACATTAGAAAAAAAAAACAGAAAGGCAGCAGTCTGTAAAAGAAAAAGGCATCAGCATGTGGGGTAAGAGAAAGCAAGTGACAGGGAAAGGACAACAAAGCAGAATTGACTGAAGTGAGATTTGAAAGGGAAACTTCAAATATCTCAAGGTCTCAGCATGTGGGCTTTTTTTTAAAACACCTTCACAAGGAAAGGGAAGAATTTTGTTTGCAATGTTGTCATGAAAGAAAAAGTATAAATCTGCCAAAACCAATAAACTGTCGTGTAATGTGTCCTTACTATAATAAAATAAATATAGGAATGAACCCTGCTTGATTTCATTAATATGCATTTACAATAACAGCAACAACAGCAATAAAACCAGAGAAGATTTTGAGAGGAAGTGGTAAGAAAGAAGGGTGATCAATGAAGAGTTAAAGATTTTTTTTCTAGAAAAGAAAAAAAACAGAATCCAAAAGACAGGGGAAAATAAAAGAACACATAAAGCTAGGAAAAAATTAAATGGGAAGGGGGGGGGTGGAGGAGAATAAAAAATCCATTGTAATCACCTACCAATCCATTTTTTAATTTTTGAATTTGCTCATCCATCATAATCTCATCACAATATCACTTCTGAGTGTCTAAAGGCCACAAAGTGTTTAACTTCGCCCCTCCACCCAACAGGCAACCGATGATAATATCAAATCGTTATTCTTGTTTAGCAGTTTGCCTCTATTTTTCCTGTAATAGCAAAAAACCTGATCTGCAGTAGAACATTCAGTGCGTGGATCCCAGTTCAGCAATATCTGCTTTTGGAAGGGTGCACCATTGCCCTGGTTTGTTTATCCACACTGTGAAAAGAGACCAGCCAAAATAGATGTGTAACTTCTCCTCTCTCTCTTCCTTCTCAAAAGCCCAAATAAATGACACTGTAGCCACCATCCATACTACTGCTTTGTTTTCTGATAGGAAATTTCTGACCTCTGAAATGCTTATGACTGTCAGGAACTCCGGTTTTAAGAGTGCTCATGCTCTTTTCCATCATACCTTGTGCTATAATTGATATTCATTATGAGTACTTTGGCCAACGTGAAGTTCTTTTGAGTCATTGTAAAGGCATAGGCATTGGGAAGGAGAAATGATAGTTTGAAAATAATGAAGCATTCAGCTACAAAGTGATGTTAACATGCAGCTAATTTATTTTTTTAATATTCACATGTAGTCAAAAACAGTTGCAGATTCATTTAGAAACCAAACTTTTTTTTTTAAATGAACCTTAGGTCCCACGTTTCTATGAAGGGTTTGTCTGTTAGATTCATGAACAACATTATTTATACACTTAACTAAGCTCCAATGACCTCCCATACAGATGTCCTCAAATGAGAAACAAACAGGATAAGAAATATTGAGAGGAAGAGGGATTAACTTTGAGGAGTATTTTGTAATATTGAAGAAACTGTCCTTGTGATATTAATGAAATGAAGGCTAAGCATTACGATAGGGAAGACAATAAATAAGTAGAGATAAAACTAATCCCAGGTTATAATCCTATTATAAACTCTTCCAGAGAGTAGAACTTTTCTCCAGACCTTGCAGGAAGGTGGGAAGTCATATTTCAAGAAAAGATAGGTACAGCGTGGCGTCTTCGCTGACAGTTTATTTTTTAGATTAACACAAATTAATCAGAATAAATTAGCACCATGGTGCTGTCAGATGCGAAGAAGGTCAAAAGCTTCATGATCACTGTTAGAAAACTGACAACAGAGAAAATTAGAACTTTAGGGACATTTATAAGAACATCTGTTCTGGGATCCCTGGAGCTGCCTTGTGTATCTCTGCAAAGAGCTAATTAGCACCATGGAGGACACCAAAATATCAGAAAGAAAAAGGAAGACTCCATGCTTAGCAGGAGAGAGATATTAGTATTAGAGATATCAGAGTTCGTATCCACCACCCAGCTGCTGATTCGGTCTGGTACAGCCTGTGATTAACCCGGGCAAAAGGAAAGACATGACAAAGCAGACCAGCAGTTGAAACCCGGAATGTCTGTGGCAGCTCTCCTTTCTGATTCATGTGGTGGAAAACTGGTAGGGAGAAATTTGACAGCTTCATGAAGATGCTACTGAGACTGAAATCTGAAGTCTCTTAATTTCTGCACAACAT